AAAATTCAGCAGTGGCCAGAGGATTGGAAAAGATCAGTCTACACCCCAATCCCAAAGGGCAGTGCCAAAGAATGCTCAAACTACCGTACATTTGCACTCATTTCACATACTAGTAAGGTTATGCTCAAAATCTTACAAGGTAGGTTTCAGCAGTGTGTGGATCGAGAACTCCCAGGAGTACAAGCGGGATTTCGAAGGGGCAGAGGAACTAAAGACCAAATTGCTAACATGCGCTGGATTATGGAGAAAACCAGAGAGTTCCAGAAAAAACATCTACTACTGCTTCATTGATTATGCAAAAGCCTTTGACTGTGAGGATACAGCAAACTATGGCAAGTCCTTAAAGAAATGGGAGTGCCTGACCACCTTATCTATCTCCTGAGAAACCTATATGTGGGACAGGAAGCAACAGTTAGAACTGGACATGGAACAACTGATTGGTTCAAAATTGGGAAAGGAGCATGACAAGGAGTATATTGTCCCCCAGCTTATTTAACTTATATGCAGAATACATCATGCGGAAGGCTGGACTGGAGGAATCACAAGCCGGAAATAAGACTGCCGGAAGAAATATTAACAACCTCAGATATGCAGATGATGCCACTCTGATGGCAGAAAGTGAGGAGGAATTAAAGGACCTCTTAATGAGGGTGAAAGAGGAGAGCACAAAAAATTATCTGAAGCTCAAAATAAAAAAATGCAAGATCATGGCCACTGGTACCATCACCTCCTGGCAAATGGAAGGGGATGTTATGGAGGGAGTGACAGATTTTACTTTCCTGGGCTCCATGATCACTGCAGATGGTGACAGCAGCCACAAAATTAAAAGATCCCTGCTTCTTGGGAGGAAAGCGATGACAAACCTTGACAGCATCATAAAAAGCCAAGACATCCCCTTGCCGATTAAAGTCCACATAGTCAAAGCTATGTTTTTTCCAGTAGTGATGAATGGAAGTGACAGCTGGACCATAAAGAAAACTGACCGCTGAAGAATTGATACTTTTGAACGGTGGTGATGGAAGAGACTCTTGAGAGTCCCCTGGACTGCAAGGAGAACAAATCTATCTATTCTGAAGGAAATCAACCCTGAGTGCTCATTGGAAGGACAGATCCTGAAGATGAGGCTGCAATACTTTGGCCATCTCATGAGAAAAGAAGACTCCCTGGAAAAGACCCTGATGTTGGGAAAGTGTGAAGGCAAGAGGAGAAGGGGATGACAAAGGACGAGATGGTTGTACAGTGTCATTAAAGCTACCAACATGAATTTAACCCAACTCCGGGAGGCAGTGGAAGACAGGTAGACCTGGCGTGGTCTGGTCCATGGGGTCACAAAGGGTCGGACACAACTTAATGATTAAACAACAATCCAATATCTATTAGTTTGTTTACAATAATATTAAATGGGACTGTTAAGTTTCTGTTGTCCTAATTGTGATTTTACAACAGTATTTATCTACTAGTTTTAATATTATATTTTTGCATTTTTTTAATACTGTAATACTTTACTGATCCTAGCTTTTAATACTGTTTGTTAATACAGTACTGTAAGCCACTTTAGATCCTTTTTGGGAGAAAGATAGTGTATAAACATTTCAAATAAATAAATACATAAATAAAGCCACACATGGATTAATCAATTAAACACCTGTATTTGCTGGGGCAGTTCACACTCAGTCATCCTTTAGCAATAAGTAGTTGCTCATAGCACTGTTGAATTCCTAGCAAGGGTCTGAGTGTTCTAATTTCAGAGAAATCCTGACATTCGGAGTAGCACGGGAAATTCCTCAAAATGAGAATTTTTCTTCACTTTGATTTGATGCTAGGTACACATTTGGAATTATCCCTGTTCTGCTACATGTACTGATACTAAAAGAATGTTAATTAGTAACATGTGGGTATTGAAATTAGAAAAGGCTCCCATTCCTGTCCTACCTTGGACTCCTACCTTCTCCATGAGAGCAGGTATGCATCAAATTCAGCCTCGATGTGACACAATGAAGCATCAGCCTCAGTTGTTGTGGCTCAGGTCACTATTTATTGATAGGATTCAACAAGGGTATTGGTCACATAACCCCTCTTCAGACCCCAATACCCTTCTGTTGCTTTACCCTCAAAGAATTAGGTCTCTTTGGTTAGAAAGGCTTGTTTTTCTACCTTAAGGAGACATCCAGGATGCCAAATTTGGGGAGCTTCATTTCCCTTTAAGCAGCAATAGATGGTCTCCTCTTCTTGTGTTGTTAACAGTCTTTATTAGTCCCTATCCTTGCCACCCCACTATCCAAGCCAGCAATGTTTCTGACCTCAACCCACTGCAGGGCAACTGGCTCTCCAGGCAGCACTATCAATGAATTGTATTGCAGGCTACACAGCAATCAGCATCCTCACTGGGATTCCAGCAGTGCTCACAGTGGAGGAAGAAACCATGAGGGTTATTGGCTTCCATATTGACTAACAGGTACCTGACATAGCATATCATTACTCACACATACTTCATTTGGAATTACTTTAACAAATTTATAAGTTTCTGAAATACTATGATGATTTCTGAATATATCAATCCGGAAAGGATGTACTATGATTATAAATATACTAGAATGTTGTTATCATCATCATCATCATCATGTGCCATCAAGTAAATTCTGACTATTCTCGGGATTTTTCAGTACCTTTCTCTGAGGGTAACCTGAGTGTGCAGCTCGCCCAAGGCCACACAAGCTGGCTCTACTCACAAGAGGCACAGTGGGGAATCAAACTCCCACACTTTAGCTCTGCATCCTAAACCACTGAGCTATCCAGCCAGGCTAGAATGTTATTAATCAATACATATTTAAATATAAGTTACATGTATATAAATAGTTCAAATAAATTGATCAGTTCTTTAACTGAACAGAAGTGTTTCACGTAAGAAATGTCTTTGCTAGAATTTACTGGCATACATTCTTTTGGTTAGCAATAAGGACATTACCTCAGCAAACAAAGAATTGCCTTTACTGGAAGGATCCAGGGTTTGCCGCAGTGCATGGTCAAGCTGCATCTGAAGGTCTTTGTTTGCCTCCCGAGCTTTCTAAATGTAAGTTTACAAAGATCATTAGGTGTCCATAATACTGTCACAAATAAATACATGTTACAATAAGACAACCGTTTACTATACATGCTTGTTGCTTCACTGCTTTTGCTTTCACATTTTTATCTCCTATTTTTATCTATAAGCTTATCTATTACTGTTGCTACATATCACAAAATCCTACATTTCTCACTATCTGAAATAGAAGAACAATTTCAGTATGTCTATGGGTCATAAAGTTTCACTGAGGAACCGGATGGTGTCATCATCCGGCACAGCTAGTATTTAAATGAACTGAAAGCTTAATATCCCCATTTTTAGTTGAAAGACTCCCTCGGGCTCCCTTCTGCCCTGAAGAAGCCTTTGGGAAGCTTGGTATGGGTGGTGGCGGCAGCGTTTTCATAGTAAAAAAATTGCTACTGGTGGGACCAGGAGAGCCAGCAGTTATTTTTCTTTTGGTTTTTTGCTATTAAGGGTTCCTCTCCACCTCCCAAGGCTACCAAGAGCTTCTTCAAAGCAATAGCAAGCCCTGGGGAGCCTCAAAATCTGAAATAGGGGGATAGAAAACATTCATTTCATTTCAATTAAATACTATCAACACTGGATGGTGACACCCCTGACTCCTAAAAATAACTTTATGTCAACAGGGTTTTGGCCCATTAGTTATTCAAGATGTTTGAGCTAAAGTGTTTCTTTAACAAGTGTCTACCAGTTACTTTTAGCACTCTTATTCATTCATTCATTCATTCAATTTTTACCCCGCCCCTCTAGACAACGTCTACTCAGGGCGGCTTCATTCAGTTAGCAAAGGCAACTATTAAGATAACAAGATATAGACTTCACACCTACAAGTATCTTGTCCACAGAATCAAACTGAAATATATCCCCAACAGGAGGAGAGTCAAGGACACGCTTGAAGAGCTTGGTTTTAAAGAAATTCCAAGAATACGTCCTGCAATCTTGTTCCAGAAAGGTTTTGTCCATCTTGTTCTCCAAGCTGTAGCCACCCTTTATTTAAGCCAAGCACTTCAAGCTACTCTGTTATATGACCCTGACAGTATTCTGAATAGTCTAACTTGTACCACAGAACTTCAACAAGTCATCTCGAATTATGCCAAAGGTTTTAGGAGAAAGCAAGCCACATTACTATTTATAAATAAATAAATCTACACATCACTGCTACAAACAGTAGGACAATACTTTACCTCTAATGCATTGCAATAGGACACAAGATCTTTCTCTCTCTCTTCTTTCTCTTCTTCAAGACGTGACACACGATTAGTCAGATTGCTATTTCCAAGTTCTAGCTGTTCTTTGCTGTACTGGAGATCACGTACCTTATCCTCAAGATCTCTCTGCCACAGAAAAATATACTATAATGAACATGCATTTTCTAACATTTTTTCTGTACAGAAAGAAAATGCAGCCAGGAGCACAGATCTGCATATCAATTACTGTTTTCTGTAATGCTAAATAATGATAAGCTACAGGTCAGTTTACAACCCAGCATTCTGTACTGAAAATATTGCTCTCACTAGTTACTCTGTATATGGTGTATGAACAGAGATACCAGATAATTACTACCCTGTTTCCCTGAAATTAAGACCTAACCTGAAAATAAGCCCTAGTTAAGTGAAAGCCATCACTGTGCAGCAACTAGAAGATGACACAACTGTATTTGAATAAACGTAGATTATTGTACATGAAAAAATAAAACATCCCCTGAAAATAAGCCCTACTGCTTTTTTGGGGAGCAAAAATTAATATAAGACTCTGTCTTATTTTCGGGGAAACACAGCATTAAATATTATACTCTAAATTTGCTGCATACCTTTGCCTGTTCAAGTGCCTGCAGCTCAAGCTGAAGACTGAGAACTTCTGAAGACATGGTTTCATGTACACGTTCTGACATTGCACGTAGTTCTTCTGATTTAGAAGCAATTACTTCCTTCAGATGGTCCACTTTGTGCTTCAGCTGTTTCTCACTAAGCAGTGCTTCATCTAGTTCTGATTTCAGTTTTTCCACCTTACAAACAGAATTATTTTCCAGAGGAAAAGAAAATGTGCTTTAGAACCCCTATTCAGATTTACCAACTTATTTTTGCATTTAGCTGTGGAAAACTACTTTTAATACACGCATCCAGTCTCTTTTCTATCATGCAACTTGAGGAAGCTTATAAAAGTAGACATCAATGATATCAGGAGGCTTAAACCAAACTGATATCAGTACACTTCTTACATTTCCCAAGGAAAACAGACAGGGAACAGAATGCAGTTTTGATGCCACTTTCTGAAGACACTCTGATTACCTTCAAGAAGCTGTAATTTCTTCACCTGCATATTTTCTTACAGTAAAATGAGAACAACCAGGGAGTTGCCAGAACTGGAGAGACTCTTTTCAATGCAAATGTATTTATAATCATTCTATATGTTAAATTCCAGATTGTTTTCCACCTAGGTTTACATCTAACCAAGACGTGCCAATTGTAGACAGATCATTTGTTCCTTAATTATCTACTAACTCAAGCACTTCTGAATTATGTAGTTTCAATAATTAGGGCAGAAACTGCATATCCCAGTTTGAGAATCCCAAACAAATAGATCTTCAGTTATACTGTTGTTTTACCATATATCATGTAAGTTATTAGGAAAGTAATAATTAACTACCCAGTGCAGAAGAAAACTGGAAACTACTCTAACTCAAAACAGCTTAATTGATAACTTAATTATGTCTAGAGCAGTGGCTCCCGACCCTTAATAACCTAGGTGCTCTTGGTCTACAATTCCAAGAAACCTTCACTAGTGGTGCTGACCGGGGTTTCTGGGAGTCCAAGAATATCTGGGCTACCCAACGTTGGCAACCACTGGTCTAGAGGAGGGGTCCCCAACACCCCCCGCAGCCTGATGCCAGTCTGTGGCCTGCAACACACCTGCCCATGGATGCAGCACGCCCCCCGCAAGCACACGGGTGCCCTAGCCCCCCCCCAACAGGTCCACAGTTCCAAAAAGGTTGGGGGCCGCTGGTCTAGAGCACTTTCACAGCAAGCATGATCCTCAAAATTTGTACACCCCATGTACGTATACTGCAAACCTTATTCTTAAATTCATTTATTTCTTGTCCATGTAGTCTTTCCAACTGTCCACGCAATGTATCTATTTGAATATTTTGCTGCTGTTTAAGAGTGTCATATTCAAGATTCAGAGTCCCCAGCATTCTGTTCTTCAGTTCCACTTCTCTCTGGAGTGTATACTTTTCTTGTTCAAAATTCTAGAAAAGAATATTTCAGAGACATTCACTGCAGGACAGAAAACATCCTGTCAGGTATATGTATAAGCCTCAGCAAGGGTCAAAAGGGGTCTGTCTACACTTGACATCAGGTAGTCCATCAGAGCTGTAAAAGGGGAGTCGAGTTCAAAATCTGCTGCACACATAGAAATATTTAACAGATTTAGTAATGACATACAAAAAAGCAATAAGGAATGCTAAACAGAATAGCAAAGTTATGCCACAAATTTATGTTGCCTAACTATAAATACAATTCATGGCATATAGCCTTAAAAAACTCAATTCACTGTAAGGTAGACAAAGGAGCATGACACAAATATTCCATAAGGTGGCAGCAATTGCTAAGGAATTAAATAGGTAGAAGATTGGTCTGACCTCTCCAAACCTGGCAATTATTTTATTTATTAGATTTTTATCCCGCCCTTCTCGACATATGCCTACTCAGGGCGGCTCACAATAAAATTATTCATAAAAACAATTAAAACAACGATTTACATTGACAATATTAGTATTAATCAAGGTGGAAAATAGGAAACAAAATATTAAGTAAGAAGTAAAAGTCAAGTATTGACAGGAGGGAAGGCCTGCCTAAAGAGCCAAGTCTTTAATTGGCTCTTAAAAACACATAACGCGGGTGCCAGGGAGATCTCTGACGGCAGGTTATTCCAAAGCCAAGGTGCCACTGCCGAGAAGGCCCGGTTTCTTGTTCTTTCTTTCTGGGCCTCTCTCAGCGTCAGGCCCCTCAGCCGTCTTTCCTGGCTATAGCGAGTGACTGAGTAGATCTAGGTGAGAGAAGGCGTTCTGACAGGTATCGAGGTCCTAAACCGTTTAGGGCTTTATATGTCATAATTAACACTTTGAAATCGTGTTTTTAAAAAATCATGTTTTATACACCTTATATGTTTTTAAATTTAATATTTTAGTTTTTTAAAAATCATGTTTTTAAACATGAAATCATGTTTTATATACCTTATATGTTTTTAAATTTAATATTTTAAAAACGTATTCATGCTGCTATAGCAATAAAGGGAAGTGGGGGAAAAACTAAGTGGGAAAAAAACTTAAGGAAATGTTCACCTCTGTTATGCTGACAATTTCATTTTGCAGCTCATCTAGCCGATTCTGCAACAAGTTTTCGTTCTCTACCAGCTTTAAACCATATTGTGCTGCTTTTCTTCTTTCTTCCTCAGCTTCTCTAAGCTGACAACGAAGACGTGAAATTGTGTCTTCACTGGTCTCCATTTTCCTCAGCAGTTGTACACTATGTAAATAGCACAAATCTGAAAACCATTAAAGAAAAATTAAAGCTAGCACAGATTAAGTCATTTAATATTTTACTTGCTACAGCTATGATACATTTGTGGGTTTTATCAGAGACCAAGGCCATTAAGGCTACACATGTCTTGTAGCTCTCTGAAACACAGAAGACAAACTATGGCCACCATAGCCTCATCTTGTGCACAACAAAGATCCATCAACAAATGCTTCTGTGAATGGCTACTGTGGTCTCTCCCTTTCACAAAATGGAAATGGTCTTTAATATTAGGAGATACAAGCGCAATCAGTAAAGTCTGTTTTCATTAAGAGCCAACTCTACTAAGACTCAAATATATGCCTTTCATCTGAGAAACAAGCAGACATATCAGAAAGTTTAGATTTCCCTTAAGGGAGTCCAACTAGCCCAGGGGTCTTCAAACTATGGCCTGTGAGCCACATCCGACCCACCTTGCCTTTTTATCTGGCCCAGACATAGGAAGAGGAGCAAAGCCTGACAGAAGTGATCCCCCACCTCCGTTGTCTTTGGAAAGACAGTGGAGCAGGGGTCCCCTTCTCTCCTTTGGCCCTTGAAAATGTGTAAAATATATGATGTCGCTGTCATACTGAAAAGTTTGGAGACCCCTGAACTAGAGCATGGTTTTGCCCCCAAATATCTAGGTGAGGCTTTGGATCATACACAAACAGCCAAATACAAAGGAAAGGACTTCCATAAGAAACAACATTCACTGAATGTTCCTGGGAACTAGTTCAGGAATATAACTGCAAATATTTGGTCCTATGCTACTCTACAGGCAATATGCCAGCCTGATATGGTATAGTAACCTATCCAAACCACTAGATGTAGCACTCTGGGAAAGCTGTAGAATCATTACTGGATGTCTGAAGCTAACTCTTATTGATAATAGCAGCTAATAGTGGAAAAACTAAACCATACTGATGAAATGCACATCAAGCTACCATCCTGCCCCTCCCCGATTAAAATCAAGGAAAAGTTTTTTCCAGAACATATGTGAACATTGAAGGAACAGCAAATAATGCCAGGACTATAATGATGTAAAGAACTACTTAAAATTGATGGAACCCCAGGAAAGTCTAGCCTCTGGTTACCTGGAAACCTTGAGTTATTTGGAGTCACTTTATAGGCTAGGGACTGGAATTGACAGAACGAAAGCAAGCATACGAAAATAAGATTTTGTGAATACAAAGAACAGGCAATTTACACCTATGTCAGTGTACTCTATATCCCTGAATATGAATTATGGAAAATTTTAAGTTAGCTGCCCCAAATGTTCTTGATATTTCCTGCAATTCAATGAAAATTATTTGATATATGTATTAATTGTACATTGGTGCTTTCAACATGAACAAATAAAGAAAGATCAAGAGCTGAAGACCTTTAATTAAAAGGACACAGAAAGCTATGCATTCAGCCCTGACAGCATAGGGCCAAATCACGGAGATGCCATACTGAAGTATTTACATTATATTTCTTATTAGGTTGAAATGTTTCGTTACTCAGCCAAGTAGCTTCTTCAGCCACATGGGGTATCGCCAACAGAGAAGAGTATATGGTATATTGAAAAGTTAAGCGTCTACTAACAATCTGTTTAAAATACAAATCATGAAATAAAGAATAGACTTTTTAAAAGCTTAATTGTAATGTAGCTTTTTGGACTTAATTAGAGAATTTCTAAGATGTTAATGGACTACTATGTGGTTCTAAAGAGAAGTTGATCTAATAGAACCCATGAACCAGAGTTTAAGCCAATCCAACTAAGATTTCTTCAAAAACTTAAAAACATTGAGCAGGAAGACAGAGGATAAAAATGAGCTCTAAAATTTTGTCTGCCACTTTTACATAGGATCTGTCTATTTGATTTCATAGAGCATGATAGTTACGACTTTGACTTGCAGGCACAGAATCTGAGTGTATCCAACTGTATAAATCAACTGTCCACCAACTAAACCCATGATCTGTAAAATTACTGAATAACTTACACAGCCCATCATTATAATAGCATAGCAAACAGTTTGAGTTGTTTAATCACTTTCGCTACACATTGAAATTGCATGCGCAGCACTCTCATAGATATTAACAAATAGGGAGCCTCACTGAGTAGTAAAGCGGTGGATGATATTCACTGTTGCTTACATACCAGCAGTGAATCTAAATACCTTTATCCTCTTCCACCTGATTAGGCTGGGTAACCTCAGTCTGCATGGTAATCTATATCAATCTCCAATTTTGACCATCAGCAACTATCTGCTTTAAAAAGGTGTATTTTATGCCTTTTGAGAAAACTGGATTAATACCAAAAAAGTAGCATCAACACAACAGAACTTCACAATGATTTTTAAAAATTCAGTGTGCCATAGCCAATATTAGCTGAAAGCTTAAACTGAAAATATATGAAACTGAAGTAATAATCCAAAACTTGTTTTAGACATCAGCTGGGTTAACAGCAAAGTTACTGAAATCTAAAATTTTAAAAGCTTAAAAACACTAATGATTTAAATTCTACCAGTTTTTTAGAGAAAAGAAAAACTAGACCTACCTTCAAGTATACCCCATCTTATGATATTTCACATGTAACTCTATGATTTAAAATTAGTGAATCTGCCTATTTCTGCTTCAAAGATCTTCATCTTGTTCCATCACCCTCACTGTTGCCTCCCAGAATAGGTAAAATCACATGATGGGATCATTGAAATGCAAATCCTTTTCAATCTACTTGAAGCAGCTGCTCACTATTTCCATGGCTGCCAAAGCCTACAAAGCTGTCAAAGAACAACAGTTCCCTGTAACCAAGGCCAAGTTCTAGTTCATTCTCCCTTGCAACACATACCAAATATCTGAGTTTTTTCTAACCACTTTTTAATTAGCTTTAAAGGATTTAATTTCATAGACTTTAATTAGTATCTAGTTCCATAAGGTACAAGCAAAATGAAAAGACCTATAGCTACTAAAACACAATAATTTTATTCACATTTCTCTCTTACACTTTAGTTGGTGCAATAACTGATTACTGTATTAGGAGCCCAAGTAAGCTTACTTCACTGAAGGGCCAAATCATTCTTACAATGTACTGTAAGTCTGAAACAGGAATATGAGGAGCTGTAAAAGGTAGATCATTTCGTAAATTTGTAAATTATAGCAGAAATGTAACTAGAGAACCTCTTATCTCCAGAAAAACAAGACCAAGAATATGGTAATATAGACAAGAAAAATTAATCTCAAAAACTTGAGTAAGGTTGATTTAAATAGTATTCCTAGTGCGTTTACAGACTGTAGAAAGAACTTATTTGCATTATTAGACCCAAATAACCGTACAAGAATGGGAACGAAACCAGGTACGAATCAAAAGAATGAAAAAACCCTATTCCTAGAGTCGAAACAAAAGAAAAGCCATGATGAATATCTGAGAAAACATTTCAGATTGTTAATTACAAACAAGAAACAACAGTAACATGTGTCAGAATTTTAGAAGCAGAATTTTAAATGCAACTTTTCAGCAACCACTCTATAGAGCTAAAGAGCAATAATAATAATCGTTGATTAGAATCCTATTGGAGATTTATGCCAAGTGTAAATCACTATAATCTTATCTTAAACCAATAATTTAAGATATGTAAATAACAATATCCGACTGGCAGAAAGAATCAATGACCTGAAATAACTTTTAGTGAAAGTGAAAGAAGAAAGTACCAAAGCAGGACTGCAGTTGAATGTTAACAAAAATCATGAATACAGGAGAACTGCACAACTTAAACACTATAAATGAAGAAAATGAAATAATAACTAGAGATTTTGTATATGTTGGTTCACTCATAAATCCAGATGGAGACTATGTGGCATAAAAATGTTTTAAATAAAAATATGAAACATTGCCACTCTTCAATAAATATACTCGGAAGTTGAACAGAACTGATTATGGATTGCCAGGCAATCATTTTTATTTCATTAAACCACGTATCCCAAAATGGCTCAACCTTGTTACAGAGCCACCATAAATGTTAAAATGAGCCTCCTCCTCTGCAATTCCTCCGACAAAGGGGGTGAGATAGAGAAATTTATATAACTTCAGTGTCATTAAGAGCTATATCTGTAGTAGCTTTAAGGCAATTTTGAACATTTTCACCTGATCGCTCTCCTCAGTTTCAGTACCACAGCCATGTTCCACATTACATGCAAGCCTTGTATGAGGCCTGTTTCGAAATCCAGGAAGCAAGAATATATTTTTGATACTGCTCCATTAACTACACTTCCCCAAAAAGCTCCTCAATTTGGGCTGGGAATCTCATATGTTGCCTTTTAACCTCTAGATACCTAATAATTGATACTATGTAAGCCACGAGATGCCAGATTCCCGATTCCTCCAATAATCTCTTGGAAGAAGTTGCTGATCAATACAGAAAAACAAAAATTTATTTAGAACCACTCTAACCAAGTTAACTGAAGTGTATGTGTGTCATAGCATGTGTAAAAACCAATATGGCAATTTAAGGGGGTAACGGGGAGCCATCTGACATAAACTGCCTCTTTTCATACCAAACAGAGATTGCCAAGGACAAGATGCAGTACACATTGTTGTTTAAGTATGAAGACACACTCCTGGTCACTGCTGAAAGATCCAGACTCAGGGACAAATCCATGTGCACAGCCAAGCTGTACACCTGTGTTATCAAGGAGAGTGTGACCTCATCCAGCATCATCCCTATCCTCTGATCTTCCTTAGCAGGAGCATCCCTGTCTTGTCTGGATTAAGTTTCAGTTTGTTAGCTCTTATCCATTTCTCACACCGACAGATCCATGTTCTTGCACCTCCAGTTTAAAAAGTCTCAGGTATCACATCACAGTATCAGCTGTGAAATCTTCAAGAATTACTGTCAGCTACAGAAAGAAGTAATTATCCAGTTAAGAGATCACCTACTTCACTCATTGCCAGGCAGCTTCACATTGCCACAAACTGCAATTCTGTAAAACCTGCTTCCAATCAGTGACCTCATCTTATACAGTACTAGTGTACACCCAAACAAGACAAGACTGGTCTTGATTTTTAATGAAGAACTAGATCAGGTCAGCCAGTGCAATCCAAAATGATTTAAAGTTATTATGAGCATTTACAAGGACAGAATTTCTTACCTTCCGGAGATGAGAGAAAGAAAGAATTGCTTCAGTTTTTCTCTGTGCATTTAAACCTTAAGGAGAAAAGGGAAAAGATCCACAAGATACGATTTTCTTTCAGAGTTATTGGTTCTATAATACCCAACAGTAGGCTGTCCTCACAAAAAATAATCTCTCCTTTCTGAATGTTGCTTTCAGGGAAATCACATTACCTTCCCCTTCCTCTCCCCCCCCCCACACACAACAGACCATATTCAAGTCCAGTATCGCCAATGGTGGCTACCACCAGTCTTTTACCCCATACAGATTTCATTGTACTGTAGTTCTTCCTGAAGCTGGCACTGATGCAACTTGGAGCTTCAGCACTTCAGGAGTATTTCAGAGTGCTGAAGCCAAACACAGAGACATGGATGAGATCCTCAGAAAGTTAACTTGGATCTTATGCATATCTCTACCACCAAACTGAATGCTCACTGAGAACAAGAGGCAAAGTCAGGAACACATTAATGACCGCTCAAAACAATAGGACTGTCACATGGGTCATGGAGATTTCCAAGACTTTGTGTGCCTTCTTCAGAGGAACTGGGGAGAATGACAAGTGCCTTCCACACAGAACTACAGGGACACAGGAGCAAAGAGGAATAGGGACGGACAGAGAATCGAACGGAAAAGGTAGGATAGAAGGACCATGGCAAACAGAAGGAATAATGCCCTTCATGGTGAAGCAGAGCAAAAGTAAAGAGAACTTTTACAAATAGCCCCAAACATCTGCTCACCCTAACATTGGTAACATCTAGATTAGTGGAAAACTAAGGACAGTTTAGTAGGTCCAGAAACAATATGAGACTAGTTGTCATCCTAACCTGATGGTCCCCCCCATCAATCCCTCCCTCCCTCCCTGTCCTAAATGCATCCCACACGCCCAAGTTGTCCTGGCCAGGAGCTGGCAGTGGCTCTGAAAGGCAGAGACACGCTCGCTCCCTATTTTTTTAATCTTATTCCTCCGTAAAGTTGGAGTGACAGAGCGCCTGAGACCTCACCTGAAGGAGCAGGAAAGCAAACGGATGGAAGACAAGGACAGCGAGGCGAGGCTCTCCTTGAGCCGTGTGGGATTGTGAAGCCACAAGGCAGGGCGGGAAGGAGGAGGAGGAGGAGGAGGAAACCTTGGGAGAGGTTTTGACGCCTTTTCCATATACGTTCATCAGGTGGATTCCCCACACACACACACTGCATTTAGGAGAGGAGACTTCTCGTCGCCTGCATCTATAGGTCCTGGCCAACCGTTAAAAGTCTTACAAATAAGGAAAATATTTAACTGACGTAGTTAGCTCTTAAAAATCCAGAAGCAGGCGAGAGGGAAGGGATTTAACACGCAGCCTTTTGGAAAGAGAGCCGAGACGTTCGGGGAAAACGCCTCTTTTTCTATATTGGGGGGGGAGAGAGAGAAAAAAAAACCTAAGCGTTCCTCCCGGAGCCTTTTCTTCAATCAATAGAGAAAGGGAAGCCCGGGAAAAGAGAGAGAGAGAGAGACGACAACGAACGAACTAGAACGGCTACTCCCTCCCACCGCCCGGGTCGGCACTCACCGACTCCGGCGTCGCCCGTCAGAACTCCTCGCCGCCTTCCCGGACCGCTGTTTAAATTTCGCCCCCAGCCCTGCGCGAGACGGCCCAAACCTCGCGATACTCGCGACTTCCTGGCCGAAAAAAAAACGACCTCCCGCTTAGGGGCTGCGGTCTCTCGGATGCGCGTGCGCCGCCTAGCGGCTTGACTCAGGCTAAACGGAAGTGAGCGTTCTCCGTAACAGTGGGCCGCCCTTCGGCACATATACAGTGTATAGAGATAGTATACTGTATATCTCGAGCATGCGCGACAGCACCACCTAGCCCGCTCCTGATGCAAATACTGTAGTGTGTGTCTTGCTTTTCCTAGTCCGATGCTGTAGTTCCTGATCCTTCAAAGAGACCGGAGGCAACGAAGCTGACTCCGAATGCCTGGATTCCCTCCATCTTTGTTCTTTTTCTCCTGTTCGCTTTGCATTTGAGACTGTAAAAAACCGCAATAAGCAGATTGGTTACATGTCACCAAAATGGAAGAAATAGGGAGCATCGATTTACATAAAGTGGTGTATTTTGATTTATATCTACCGATGCAAAGTTGAAATTATTTGTGTAGCTTAAGCAGAATTGCAAGATACCTCTATTGAGTGGGGAAGAGAGGGAGCAGTTGATTTTTTTGTACTAGCTTGTCTTAGTGCTGCAAAAATACAGTATGCACAACTTTTGATCTTTCTCATGGTTATTTTAAATCAGAGCTGGACCAGATCATCCTTCAGTAGAGGACACCTTCAAAAAAAAAGAATTGTCCTGTGGAAGTCCTGATGGAGGACTGGTTGTCTAGTCGTTTAGTCGTGTCCGACTCTTCGTGACCCCATGGACCAGAGCATGCCAGGTCCTCCTGTCTTCCACTGCCTGCCAGAATTGGGTCAAATTCATGTTGGTAGCTTCAGTGACACTGTCCAACCATCTCGTCTTCTGTCGTCCCCTTCTCTTGCCTTCACACTTTCCCAGCATCAGGGTCTTTCTCAACATCAGGAGGACTAGTAGTAATCAGTAATTCTAATTGAGGGTATCCCAGTGGAGTTTTTAAAGGTCCTTTTTAGAGGTGGTTTACTAGTCCTTCTTGGTGTATTTTGGAACTGTGCAGCTTGCCCAAGGTTGCACCAATGGCAGGGTGTGTAACCCTGTCAGCTGGGTAGGTTCGAGGCAATCTCATCTGATCCTGAGAAATTCTGGAGATTGGAAACTTGGCTCCAATTCACCGAGCTATCCCACTGCAAGTAGAGGATTGTCCTAACTAAATGAGAAGTTGTGGTGCCGTAGACTTGATGTGGATATGAGCCAAATCTGTACTGACAAACTACTGATAGGTGGAGAGGTAGCTGTGTCTGTGTATATCCTCTCCACCTTCAGCTAATGCAGAGTAAGACCTGAAAAGTTTTCACTGGGCTGCGTCCTGATATTGATGGACAGCAACGTGAAGTGGTTCTAGCTGACATAGCCTATGATAGGGCATTATGAGAATGATGTTCCAGAAACATGGGGCACAGATTGAATAGACTGACTAATATTAACTGTTTTATTAAAATTTTGTTAGAACTTTTTTGTTTCAAAAAAAAATAGTGAAAAAACACTGGTGAATTATCTCTCTTTTTTTCCCTATTGAATCCTTTGTCACAAAAAGACAAATTCGAAATACAGATCTACTTCGATCGTCTACTTTTTTTAAAGGGAGGCCATCAAGCCGCAAATCAGACCTGATTAGGAATATTATAGAACCAGTGTTTCATAGTTTGAAAATGTGGTGCTGAAGCAATTTTTTGTGACTCTTCTGCAGCTGCATAGACCATTGTTGAATCACAGGTGTTTGCATCCACAGATTGCACCATAAAAACTCTCTGATATGTAACCTGTAACTGGTTCCTGCTGCTCTGTCCTGTTTTATTATTTAAATTGGTTGAATTTTAGGAGATGCTTAACAACACAGTTGCACAGCAACATAGGGGAACACCCATAGGCTTTCTCCTACCAGTATAGTGATACTTCCCTGACCTCACTTCCCTTCTGTTCACATTCTTTGACTGATCAGGTATAGCATTATTTTATTTTGCATCTGTCAGGTATTCAAAGACTTTAATATATATTTTAAAAGAGCTGAATTCTGATTAGACTGTAACGCTACAGGCTCTCTCGAGCTACCACTGAAGACTGGAAGACTGTTCAGAAAAGAATAAGAAGCCTGGTTCAGATGTAGTAATCTCATTTGGGAGGGTGGGAAGCTGAAAGCCAGTTCTGTGAGCATGGCTATTGCAAGCTTTCTGGCTAATGGTTCTTAATGTAATCAGGACTGTTTAAAACTGGAGCCATACTCAGACATTGCTTTCATGCAACTAACAGTAACCAAAAGGTGAGTGACATCAGGCCTATTGGTCTTCCGGCGTCACCGACTTCTCACTGTCCATGCATCGAGGGGAAGCTCAGTAGAGGAGAGCTTGGCATATGCACTTAAGTTTCCCTTTCCTGTGGTTATCGGGTGGAGAGGTTACATCATAGGAGCCTTGCACATGTAGAACAGCTCCCCCTTTTATAAAAAGCAAGATACACCCCCGTCATAGCAGATCAGGGCCAACAGGGAAAGGAGGTCGGTGCATGTGGCACAATGTCTATGTTCACAAGGACAAACCATATGTGGGTGCTTGTCACTGATTCTCTCAATAAAGACATAGGTATGCTCTCCTGAGAACTTCTGTTGCCTTCAAAAAAAGCCATTCTGGAGGCTGTTCAGAATCTCAGGGACCCATTTGTGACAACCCCAGACCTACTGGGATATGCCACAGTTTCACTAAGCTGCCACCAACCATTCCCTATAAGAAGTCACACAGACCAGGGATGGATTTTTAACAAATAAAAGAACAAGGTTTATTTACATAACACACAGGGAAAATAAAATGATCAAATGAATAAGATACAGTAACGTGGCTTAGTCTCAATCATACATACACTAGTTTGGTTCACACAGAACGCATTTAACTAAAGCACAGACCCTGAACCTATCAGTTCTGGCTAACCCTACAGACACCTGAACCTATCAGGTTGGTACTGACTGACACACAGTAGTACCCTGTCTGACACACAGACTCCCACTCAAGCTTCTTCTCTCAGCTTTCCCTGTTGCCTTCAAAAAAAGCCATTCTGGAGGCTGTTCAGAATCTCAGGGACCCATTTTCGGGAAAGAAGAGCTTCCAAATCGTGTTAAGAGATGGAAGCACCCTCACATCTCCTCCAGCAGAAGGAATGTGTTGTATTTCAACAGCATAATGTTGGGCTCCTTATTTCTAATTTGTGCAATAAACTTAAGGTGTGGATACACCTCTCAGTCTTATGAAAGTTTGTTCATTTTTTTTTGTTCCTTCGTTGGTGAATGCTGAAAAGCACATTTGGTTATATACAGTGCTGTGGAAAAACAGTAAAGCATAAAAATAAAACAAGAAGCTAGTTTTAATTTTGCACATCTGTATAAAGTGGTGTTCAGCGGAAATGTACAGTAGAAAAGGTAGCAGTTTAATTTGTGAAACAGCAAGATAACGCAGCCATTTTAAGTAAAGTCGCAACAACTGTTTGGACAAAATCCAGTAGAATTGTCTTCAATAAGAGGTAATTTCTGAGCAACTTTTACTCTGTCAAATATAGTTAAGTGCCAGCAATTTGGAATTGGAACCTTATTTCTGGAGCTAGTATTATGTGCTTGTAGTATGTTATCTCCCAATTAACTAAACTACAGGCCCTAGGTAGTTTGATACTTCTTGTTTACCCACACCAATCATTCCAGATTTTTAAAATGTGTCTTCTAGGTTTGTTTTGGAAGTATTAAAGGGCTGACAGTAAATACGTGGCGGCAACTTTTTGTTGCCTTTAGAATCAAGCAGACAATATAATAAAGCTCATATGGGATGTAAAGTATCATGTTTGATTACACAGTATGGTGTAGTTATGTCACATTTTATTCAGTGTTCAGAAGAAACTGGGACACTAAACACAATCTTTTTTCATAATGAAATCACAATTTAAAAAGAGTAGAAGCAGAAGGAGCCAAGAGCGATTTAGGCAGAAGTCCAACTATCTTAACAAACAGCCCATTTTTCTAGCAAAGATTTTGTGGCTTAACAACATGTAGCCACATAATGATTTAACAGCACAAACCCTTAAGTACTGTTTTAGTGCCCATCCATACTGCCATCAGCCAGAAACTAAACAAACACTGCACACATGTAAAGAGCCAAATTCTTTAGTCATTTTTGTGTTCCAGTATAAAGACAGTCTGTTTATAACGTACCCTTGTGTGTCCATCCGTGTGTTCAAAAGACTTGTGCCAAGAGCTCTTTCAAATGAGATGAAGTTTGCAAGTAGAACTCAAAGTTCATATTTGCTTCCCTTTTAATGAACAAGCCATTACGAGTAATTTTAACCCTCCATGCTTCTTTAGACAAATACCAGTGGTGCCTCGCATTGCGACATTAATTTGTTCCGCAAAAATCGCTGCAAAACAAAAACATTGCAATGCGAAAATAAAAAGCCCATAGAAACACATTAAAACCCAATTAATGTGTTCCTATGGGCTTAAAACTCACCGTTAAGTGAAGATCCTCCACAGCGCCACCATTTTTGCTGCCCCTTAAGCGAGGAATCCTTCCAAGAAAACAGTGGGCGGCCATTTTGTATACCCAGCGGCTATTTTGAAACCGCCGATCAGCTGTGTAAAAAGGGTTGCTTTGCGATGATCATTTCCCTGCGATCATCGCAAAGCGAAATTCACCCATAGGGACCATCATAAAGCGATCACTTTTGCGATCACAAAAACTCTGTCGC